TCACTAATTGTACAATTTTTCATCGACTTTGTCTCATGTTTACAAGGTATTTAAACGTAATTAAAAAATTTTAGAAATCTCCTGCAATCGTTGATTTCAATATAACGGTAAAATTGGTAAAATAAGCTTGATAAAATGATGTTACAAAATTGTTCGTTGCCTCCTGAACAATGTTTATTCAAACTTTTCTTTTCGTTTCCTTGCATTAACGCGGATTTTCGCTTATACGATACTTGTCCAGCTTAACATTGACTACCTAGTAAGCGAGTTGTATTTTTTTTATCTCGAATTTTGACACCTTCGTTCGTTAATAACTCGAAAACGAGCACGTTAACGCGTATTTTCGTTTATATGATATGTGTGTCGTTTTTTTTTCTCGAATTTTGAGAATTTTTTTTTCTTGAAAACGAGCACGTCGACCTATATTTTTGTTGACGACATTATGCTCCCCTGTTTTTTTCCAACAGGATAGCGTGTCGAATTTTTGTTCTACGACGATTTTTGCCGCCGGAGCGATCGCTCGGAGTCGAGCGGACTTAGAAAACTTCGTCACTAATTGTACAATCTTTCAGCGACTTTGTCTCATGTTTACAAGGTATTTAAACGTAATTACAAAATTTTAGAAATCTCCTCCAATCCTTGACTTCAATATAACGGTAAAATTTGTAAAATAAGCTCGATGAAATGGCGTTACAAAATTGTTCGTTGCCTTTTGAACTATTATAAATTTCAAATTGATAACTGACAGCATTTTCTTAAAGCTCACTGCACTGTTCAGGAATGTCAAATCCAAATTGCAAATTGTTGATCGATTTTTAACAGAGTTTGGTTCCGAGGATTTCTGCGTGAATGGCAACGGGCACATTTAATATTTTAATGCTCGCGAAATTCGGGAATAAAGGCTGTAAGCGGCAAAGCGTTTCCGTGGTTCTACTTTTTTGTTGTTTCTGGTGCGACACCGCTCGTCTGAAATATTCACGCGAATTTCCGCCGCTGATGGCGAACGAAACGCAAAATTTTCGTTGCTTAAATAACCCCGTGAACGTTTCACAAGCTTGTCATTAACTGCAGCCACGACAGAAGCAGTCTCACGAAAACGAAACAGCCAGCTGCGAATTTTAAATATTTAGTGTCGAAACGGGCAAATGAGTGGACAGAAATTGTCAAATATTTAGCTTCTTAATTGCGTCGTAACGCTATCTTGAGCTTCGAGCGTTATTAAACGACTGTTTTCACTTTGCACAAATATTTTTTTGACTTTTAGCTAATATAGCAACGAAGCAGATTGCGTTCTTGCCGACGGAGAAACAGAGATGAAAAAAGTAAACTTCTTTAAATGTAAAATACTCAAAGCAATTACTCCTACACACCAGTATTACACTGTGATTTATTATTTCATTTATTATTTTATTAATAATTTTTTTTCAACAATTATTGCATTTCACTAAAATTGATTACTTCTATTTTTGATTCGTATATGGCACGAAGACTTTTAATTTTCTTGTAATTTTACCTAATAATATCGTATAACAATTGAAGATTAAAAATGTGTTACTATTTAAATTGAGTAAAAACTGTTAGAAATAAGTGTATTTCTTTTATAAGTAACTAGCATGCCCCGTCACGGCTTCGCCCGATCTTATGCAAAAGCAATTCATGGCCAGACGATCGTCCTGACATATATATCCGCGATAATGCAATTCTCTCGCGAGAAAGCGCTCGAGAAGCTTCGCCACCTGGCGGTAACATCGCAGTACTGCTACGGGCGAGGTATCGCGCGGGCCGAATATTTCCAAATTTCCAAATTTCATCTGCTTTTCGTATATTTGTCCCATCATATTTTTTATGAATAGCTCTGCTTTTCCAATTCTTCGAAACTAATTTAATAAAATGCCTTATTAAGACTTTTAGTCCCGAAAAAAACAATTTTGTAGTACCCCCATGTCTTTATATTCTTTCATGTTCTCTATACAAATAAATTATAATTCTTTTTTGCCAGCGAATAAATGATTACTTGTTCGAACATGTATTAGTAAAGTTTCGAATTCGAATTAGTCATCTTGAACTTTGAATATTTTCTGACACATTTCGGTCGTAATTAGAGTATTTAAATATATTTCTGTTTAAGTTATCTGTAAATTCATCGAAATATTTCACTGTGTCTATTTTTTTTATGTTTTTTGACCATTTGACTAACAACTAATTCGTATTCAATAATTTTCCACGCCCATTTCATCGATTATCTATTATTCTTTTTCAGATAAAATTTCAAAACTGACTTTTGTATAGATCATTCAATTTCCATAATAATTGTTCTTTTTTTTGCATTAGTTTCCGTTTAATTAATCTCTAGCTATAGATATTAATTAATACTTTCGTTAGTGTTTTTTCACTTACAATAGAAATATCAATTTTTCACATTTTATATAATTTATTTCAAAGTTACAATTTTCCAAATTTTCCAATTCTTCGAAATTAATTTAATAAAATGATTTAAGATTTTTAGTCCCGAAAAAACAATTTTGTAGTAACTTCTATGTCTTTATATTCTTCCATGTTCTCTATACAAATAGAAAATAAACTTGTATTAGTAAAGTTTCGAATTCGAATTAGTCATCTTAAACTTTTTATATTTAACTAGCATGCCCTATTATGCAATTCTCTCGCGAGAAAGCGCTCGAGAAGCTTCGCCACCTGGCGGTAACATCGTAGTACTGCTACGGGCGAGGTATAGTGCGGGCCGAATACGCGCATGCGCGCGCAAGTAGACTGTCGTATACAGGGGTCACGTGGTCTGCCAAACGGTCGTACACATGAAATCTTTGCATATAAATTTCATGTTAATAACGCGCTTCTGAGGCATGCTTCATAGCCTATGTCTGTCCTAGAGTTTGCAGGAATAACGTGTCAAAATTTGAGGAAGATCGGTTCAATAGGTCTTGAGTTTTGCGCGAACATAAAAATCGGCTCTCTCTTTATATAATACTATAGATTGCACCCAAGCGCTTAACAGCAATTTGAATAAGTATTGCTGCCACAAAAATGATGACGTTGACGTTCCCAATAAATCTTTTGGTTTGAAGCTACAGAGGGATTTGAAACTGTTATTACTAGCGCAGATTTTGTAAATATCAGGAAGTTTGACTTTCAGGTTTCTCAAATGTATTGGAAGACCTTTGTTAAAAAGTTATTAACGTTTAAAGTTCCGCTCGTACTGAATTTTTTTCTAGAAAGTGGGTAAGATTTCGGGGGTATGTCTATTCACCAAAAATGATTGTAATTGACCCCCGCAGCCGAAAATAATTTTTCTAGAATGATTTGAAATTTTTTTGCGTCGATAAATTTAGGCATCTAATTAGATTTTCAGTAAAGAATTTTTTTCTCGAAAGTGCGTAGGATTTCGGGTGTGTGTGTAATGACCAAAAATGATTGCAATTGACCCCTGCAATCGAAAATAATTTTTCCAGAACGATTTGAAATTTTTGAATTAACATAAAAATCGGCTCTCTCTTTATACAGGGTGTTCGGCCACCTCTAGCAAAAATGTTAATGAGCGATAGTAGAGGCCAAAATAAGACAAAAATCAAGAATACTAATTTGTTGGTGGAAGCTTCGTTAAAAAGTTATTAACGTTTAAAGTGCCGCTCTTACTGAATTTTTTTCTCGAAAATGCGCAAGATTTCGGGGGTATGTCTATTCACCAAAAATGACTGTAATTGAACCCTACAACCGAAAATAATTTTTCCACAACGATTTGCAATTTCTTAATTTTCTCGAATAATTTCACACCTTCTCTATTTTTTTTCTCGAAAGTGGGCAGGATATCGTGGGTATGTCTAATGACAAAAACTGATTGTAATTGACCCCCGCAACCGAAAATAATTTGTCCACAACGATTTGCAATTTTTTTTCTCCGTTGAAAAATTTAGGCACCTAATTGGATTTTCAGTAAGGAATTTTTTTCTCGAAAGTGCGTACGATTTCGGAGGTATGTGTAATGATAAAAAATGATTGTAATTGATCCCCGCAACCGAAAATAATTTTTTTTAAACGATTTGAAAAATTTTTTTTCGCCGAAAAATTTCAACACCTACTCGATTTTTTTTCTCGAAAGTAGATAGGATTTCGGAGGTATGTGTACTCACCAAAAATGATTGTAGTTGACCCCCGCAACCGAAAATAATTTTTCCAGAACGATTTGAAATTTTTGAATTTAATTGTTAATAACTTTTTAACGAAGCTTCCGTCAACAAATTAGTATTCTTGATTTTCGTCTTATTTTGGCCTCTACTATCGCTCATTAAAATTTTTGCTAGAGGTGGCCGAACACCCTGTATAATAGTATTGATTTTGAATTGATACTTACGAAATAAGAATATAATTTGATTCTAAAGATGTGAAATATTTTTTTATTTATGGAGGGGGTAGCAGGTCAAGGTTGAAAAATGTTATCGAAATGAATGTAAAACCAAAATTGTAGCACTCTGTAACAAACAAATTAACAAACTGTGAAAAGAAATTTCAAAGAATATTGTTTTCAGAAAAAGAAATACAATTCATTACAGTGCGAATCGCAAATTTATTATTAATAATATTTTAATAATACAATACATCGAGACAAGCATTTCCAGAAATGTTTATTTTCAAACATCAAATTTGGACAATATTACAGCAATACATAAAGACAAGAGTTTTCAAGAAAGATTATTATAATAAAATAATCATACAGTTTACAATATGGCAATTCTTACATCAAATTCAAATATATATTCTATTCTATTTAGAATCTGTCAATAAAGTTGAAAATAGTGCGTTTAGAAAAGATTATTTTTCAAATTTGTTCGTACAATTAATAACAATACATATCCCATCTGGAGTTTAATTTGAATAATAAGTATCCCAATTAACACATTACCGACCGATAGCCTATTAATCGACTTTTTTACCGGCCAACACTTACCGACCGATAGCGTATTAATAAACTTTTTTACCGACCAACGCTTACCGACCGATAGCTGATTAATCAACCGCTACCGGTCGGTAAAGTGTTAAGAAACTATTACATATGAGATAGTATATAAAGATAAAATTGTCACAAAATGTTATTTTTAAACACGAATTAACCATAAGGTACACGAATACAAAATTCTAAACAAGTGCATAAAATACTTCCGTGGAATTAAAAATAATATAGTTTTGACTATAAGCTTGATCACAAATATTTCATCCGAGTAAGATTATAATCTTTAACACAGTCAGTTCCGTGGTATCAAACTTTCTATTTTGTACCATAACTTTCTGAAAAATTCTACTAATTTCACGTTTAATACATATCTATTCTACCAGTCATATATAGCAAAAATAAATTGTATAAAAAAAAAGAAATTGAATTCAATCAAGTTTCGTATCGAACCAAAGTCACGCTTAAAAAAACTGAGTTTTGAAAAGAAACATTCATACGTAAGTACAGTTCTCTTATTATTAAAGCTCAAAATCAAGGACTCGTGCATTCATTCCATTTTCGAACGTTTAACGAAGTCGTGTAAGTACAAAATACAAAAAGAAACGACGATAAGGCTAACAAAAAGAAAATAATGTATTAAAAGGTACAGAATGTATTTGTTCTTGACTCAAGACCTCAAGAAACTGTTTCCGGAAACGGAGAATCGACCTGTTCCGGTCAAGGTGTCGAGCTGACAGCGTAGCTAGAAGTTAGGGTGCTGCTGCTGGCGCTTTTCTTCACTTTGAAGGGATCTTGGGGCACGGTGATCCCCTGGTTGGACTTTTTTTTCTTATCGTTGAATCCGCATCGATTCCTCAGCGCCTGATACACTCGTGGCTTCATCACGAACAGGATGAATATAAGTAAACCCTGAAGACAGTTTATCACGTCGCTCGGATAGAATGCTTCGTGTCTCCAGGAGAAATCGGTGTACGTATTCATGATGGAGGACACTATCTCTAAGATCCAAAATATCCCCATGACCACGAACAGTTTTACGATCATGATCAACCTAAATTGATAAAAAAGAATTAAAGACAATTTAAATTAGTATCTATTATTTAACGTTCGTTGGGGTTTTACCATTTTTAATCTCGTTCAGACACGAGTTTATTTTATGATTTATAGTAAATTTCTTATTAATTTGTACAATGGGTATGGTTAATTGCCCATCTTAATAAAACTCAGTAGATTTACAATCGAAAATATTTTATGTGTGCTTTTTTATTCGTCAAATTTTATTTTAAATAGGTGATACTAGGAGTTTAATGATCTAATATATTATTTATGGGTTTATCGAATAAATATACAGAGTGTTGGACCACCCCTGAAAAAATTTTAATGGGAGATTCTAGAAGCCAAAATAAGACGAAAATCAAGAATACCAATTTTCTGATTGAGGCTTCGATAAAAAGTTATTAACGTTTAAAGTTCCGCTTGTAGAACGGCGATCTGCGCACGCAGCTATCTACAGACTTTGAAGGTTAATAACTTGTTAACGAAGCCTCTATCAACAAATTGGTATTCTTGATTTTCGTCTTATTTTGGTCCCAAGAATCTGCTATTAAAATTTTCCCCCAATCAATTAATAAACGATTTTATACTGTATAAATCAATAAATATTCATATTAAATAGAACCATCTTATTAAACGTACTCCGTCCAATAACTCAGGAATCGTTAAGCTTAGACGAAACGTTTAAATTCTATGTTCGAATGCGTGAATTGAATTACACAATTTAACCCCTTAACGCTCATATTTTTCGGGTTAACCAAGAATGATCAGTTTTCTTTATTGGATTTGTTTCTAAAAATGTGGTGTTTGTTAATTACAATGTTGTATTCGACGTATAATTTGAAGGAAAACAAATATTATCATCCTTTAAACCATTAGATTAAACAAATATCGTTTTTCAAAGCAGTCAGACTCGGGCATGAACGTTAAGGAGTTAAGAAAAGAAACTACGATTAAATTCAGGTTCTCCACCGATTCAAAAGTGTAGAATCTTCTTGAAATGGTGACACGTAATTGCCTGGCACCCTGTACGATGCTTCTTTTCTAATGGAGTGTTATACTAATACTTTTTAGGCTGACTGTATCAAATTCGTGGAGTTTCACTTAACCTCGGTATTTAACACTAGTTTGCCCAAGGAAGTCATTTTGACTGCTTTTTAATTTCAATTAGAAAAACAATTATGTATATAATGACACAATTTCTTAGAATTTTGTGACTTTTGCACAACATATAAATGCGTTTATTAATAATTATAGTTACCTCCCCCCTCCTCCATTTCCGGTATATATATATGTGTTATACCTATATCGCCCAAAAGCAGTCATTCTGACTGCTTGGGAAATTTTAAATAATCAAATGACTCTTATTATTGAATTGAGTAAATTTCTTATATGACCAGTTCGACTCTGTATTGAAATAACAGTTTTCATTTTTTTTCGATTACCAACACATGATAACATACAAGTACATGATAAATTGTCGATTTGGGCGTACCTAACCCAGACCTAACCCAGACCTAACCCAGACTTAATTCAGACTTATTCCAGACCTAACCCAGACCTAACCCAGACTTAATTCAGACCTAACCCAGACCTAACCCAGACCTAACCCAGACTTAATCCAGACCTAACCCAGACCTAACCCAGACCTAGGTTTGGGTTAGGACTGGGTTAGGTCTGGCTTAGGTCTGGGTCAGGTCTGGGTTAGGCCTGGGTTAGGTCTGGGTTAGGTCTGGATTAGATCTGGGTTAGGTCTGGGTTAGGTCTGGGTTAGGTCTGGATTAGACCTGGGTTAGGTCTGGGTTAGGTCTGGGTTATGTCTCGGTTAGGTCTGGGTTAGGTCTGGATTAAATCTGGGTTAGGTCTGGGTTAGGTCTGGATTAGACCTGGGTTAGGTCTGGGTTAGGTCTGGGTTAGGTCTGGGTTATGTCTCGGTTAGGTCTGGATTAGATCTGAGTTAGATCTGGGTTAGGTCTGGATTAGATCTGAATTAGATCTGGGTTAGGTCTGGGTTAGGTCTGGATTAAGTCTGGGTTAGGTCTGGGTTAGGTCTGGGTTAGGTCTGGAATAAGTTTGAATTAAGTCTGGGTTATGTCTGGGTTAGGTCTAGAATAAGTCTGAATTAAGTCTGGGTTAGGTCTGGAATAAGTCTGAATTAAGTCTGGGTTAGGTCTGGGTTAGGTCTGGATTAAGTCTGGATTAAGTCTGGGTTAGGTCTGTGTTATGTCTGGGTTAGGTCTGTCTGGCAATACGTATTAAATGATTAGATCAACATCACTATTAATTATCGAAAATTATGTTCAATTTCACGTTTTATAAAACACCTTGTACACACTATCCATCTACGTTTCTTTCTCCATTTTGATATCACATCGTCGGTAGAAAGCGCAAGAAGAAGGTTATCGATCATCGATTGAATGCATCATGATCGAGCGAAAAGAATTGATTCCAAAGGCAACCACAGGAATAAAAACACCGAAGACAGGAAGTTGGAACAATACTCGATTGTTTTCTTATGTAAGAGTCGAGACTCGAGACGAGGTCGATCGGACCCACCTGGTCAGAATCGATATTCACCCTAATTGTTGCCCCTGTAGTCTCAAGTTGTTTATTTTATTTCTGCGCCCTAAATTCATAATATTATAACATAATATTAAAAATTAATTTTAAACAAATTTCTTTACACATTAGTTAGTCTTTCACAATGCAGTCATTTTGACTGCTTTTGGCCAATATAGGTATATACTAAGTTTCAGTCTTTCTAGTGTTAAGGGACAGTCGATAGACTCACTTAGTTTTGTCGGCGTGAAATCGTTTACTCCTAGGATCCGAGGGGTCAGCAACCCTTCTTATCTCGGCTTTCACCTTGCTACAGTGATCTGCCGTGAGAATGAAGAACACCACGTTGGATATCAGCTGAATCGCCACTGGCCCTCTGAAGAAAATCAGTTCACCTTTGCCTGTAACATAAACGCGTTTAAGTGAACCATCGATAACACCAAAACGGCATCTCGCTTTAACACTAAACCTACAATGACCTGCCAAATGATCGATTTTAAAATTTCGATTAGAATTTCTAACGTACAATGTTATTTTAGCGCCATTTAACTTCACGACTTTTCTTGTAGTATACATATGTACAATGAATTATCTCACAAGGGAACGTCACGACCTGTCAAACTGGGATTTGAACCAAATTTAGTAGAGTTGTAGGGGCTGATGTCCAAATGTAATCTGTAAAATACTAGACTAGTTTATGGCCAGCCATTTTTGAAAAAAATGACTTTAAAGTTTAAAATTTCTATCTATCCCGTTACAAAAAACTCAAATCTTTGGCTAAACTATTGATGGTACGCCAAAAATGTATTGGACTTTTGTGTCACTCTCGTCGAGACCTGAAATTAAAAAAAAACGAATTCGATTCGACAACTTCGAAATTTTAAACTTTAAAGTCATTTTTTTCAAAAATGGCTGGCCATAAACGTCTAGTATTTTACAGATTACATCAAGATCTGTAGAACTAGCTGGCATAAAAATTGTGGCATGCATATGGCCGCACGACGACGCTTTACATGAGAGTACAGTATTGCCTCTATAGAAGCGACGCTCTCGGGGCTCAACGCTCGCCTATAGCGTGGACGAGAAACGATTCTTGATACAGTATTGCCTCTATAGAAGCAACGCTCTCGCAGCACAACGTTCGCCTATAACGTGGATGAGAAGCGATCCTTGATACAGTATTGCCTCTACAGAAGCGACGCTCTCGGGGCTCAACGCTCGCCTATAGCGTGGACGAGAAGCGATCCTTGATACAGTATTGCCTCTATAGAAGCGACGCTCTCGGAGCACAACTTTCGTCTATAGCGTGGATGAGAAACGATTCTACAGATTCTCGTATGATAGATCAACTTTAAAATAGTAAAGGTGAATATTGATTTGTCAGTAACGTAGATATACAAATTGTGTTCAGTGAATCGTTTCTGGCTGTCTGTGATATTATTCATACTTCCTTCTTTAAAGTTGGCTATAGTTCACAGCGATTAGTAAAACTTTCAGGTAAGAAGTATGTACAGTATTGTCTCTATAGAAGCGACGCTCTCGGGGCTCAACGCTCGCCTATAGCGTGGACGAGAAACGATTCTTGATACTTTGTTGACGCCTACTGGAGGCGGCGAGTGTAGAAAAGAACAGTGAGCATATGACAAAGAGGGACTGAGCGCCCGAGCATCGCCGAATTTGCTATCGCTTTCTTCGCTTCGGGTCGCCTGTAGCAAAACACAGGCGATGTTTACGCGAGCCTATACGAAATCGGTGTTCTAATTCCGACCTCTACCTCTCTTGGTAGAGGTCGCAGAATGAAATACTGATTCTGTATAGGCTCCCGTCAACATCGCCTGTGTTTCGATACAGGCGACGTGAAGTCACTTGACCGATGCATGCCTTTGATCGCTTATTGCGTTAGTAAATAGAATCTAAATTGTATATCGTATTTGGTGTCATTTTAATCAGAAAAGTGTCACGAATATGTTGATGAAATTTGAAAAAAGGAAGAACAAAAATAAAGATGAATTTCGTTGTTGATTTAATATTGTATATGTACTAGTTAAATCGTGTCATAACTTCAGTACATATATGTATGTATCGCTCGTTTACTGCAACAGTGATATGACTCAAAAAGATACAACTTGCGAATTTGAACTGTTTAACCAACTTATTTTACTCTGAGTTGTCTCACGATTTCGGCAAATAAATGATAGGTCAATTAAATTACAATTCCTTTTTTCAGGTGAGGATACACTTTAAAGAAAGGACAAATGTATATTATAATTTATGAAAAAAAATAATAAAAATTATGTTGTACTTGATCTTAGTTAAATCAGAAAACTGTCACAGACACGTTAAAAGTTTCAAAACAAGAAAAGGAAAAATAAAAAATTTGTATTATTGCACTATTGTTGCCTTAGTAATTTGAACCCGTATCGTATGACAATGTTCAAACGCGCCGCTATCTTGGAGAATCGCCTATAGGAAGGCACACTCGCCGATATAGGGGGCGCTGAGTTCTAACGGTACGCAGTGGGGATACGATATTTGCCTATATCGTGGACGAGTTACCAGCTTATATAGAGAAAATACTGTACTGGTCGACTGTAGAGGAACCCCCAAGTGAAGCTCGCCACGCAGTCACGTGGAATCTAGTACATGTGTATTACTATCGAAACAGTTTTACAATTTCGCTCTATGATTTATTAAACTCGAATAAATTACATTCTACATTATTATCGAACCACAAAAATTACTAACGTAAACCCACCAACCGATATATTCGTATGTTATAGAGCTCCCCATTTAACACTCTCACAATCTCACAAGTAACACTACCCAACTGATACTCATTGATTTGAATGAAATTTAACGTACTTATTAAACACCGAAAAATATTAAATACGTGTTTTTTTGTTTTGCGAGTAAAGAAGGTCATTGAAACACCGAGACAGTAGTTCCAAGCGTGTAGCATTTTGTCTCCTTGCTTACTTTTTGTTTTTCTAGATATTGTCATAAATATGGAGTAATGATCGGAGCCCCAAGTTTCATTGTTTACTTCTACATTGATTTTGTAAACTACATATCCTGATGAGAATATAAGACCTAAATTGAACCTAATATCCTTATGATGTTGAGCATAGTAGAGTTTGAATTATGAAGAAATAAATCTGATTTGATATAACTATTGAGAAGTCTTTCGCCGTTAGTATCATTGGTATTGGAATTCCAACTTGTATGATGGGCCTTGAAATCGCCCATCAGTATTGCGTATTGGCTTTTATCGACCTGGCTGAAGATTTCGTCCCATTGACAAGTATCACTACCCAACTGATACTCACTGATTCGAATGAAATTTAGCGTACTTATTAAACACCGAAAAATATTAAATACGTGTTTTTTTGTTTCGGCTCAATACGCTTTTTAGGGGTAGAAAGCACCCCTCAACCTCTGGAGATGGAAACGTTTGTGGCTAATTGTTTCTTAAAGGCTACAGTTTCTGAAAAAAGTACTAAATTCAGAGTCGTACAGTTCAGAGTGATGCACTTGATGGCGTCCTTGAAATCGACCTTGAGGTCGATTTTCAAGGTCATTTGAAAATCATTTCATGTTTATCAAAGGGAGTATTTTGCTTTTCACCCCGAAAATCGATAGAGCGTAAAATTTTACATTCATTGTCAGAGCGTTGATGGTTTGTAAATGAAACAAGCTTCTGCAATTTAAAATTGTTTATTGATTCAACCAATTAAGGCAAGATCAGTCAGTAATTCGATCAATAAAGAAATAAAAAGTTAATTATTCATTCGAATAAGGTGAGATGTGTGATCGAGATCCAGCCAGTGAAGGCAAGATTTCATAATTTCTTTTCACATATGTCTATGAATATAAATTCCATTGTAATTGGCATTATTCTTTTTATTCATGACAATAATGAGGAATAGCTTTATCTTCTATCGCAAAAAAATGCTCCATACACAGAGAGTTGGTACACCATGCACATTTTATTACTGCAATGTTATTGCAGATTTTTCCAAAGTTACTTACAAAACTTTTTTCTGCTTCTTTGAACCTATTTTCCCATAACGTCTGATTTTTCCTTTTTTGGGAAAATAACGCAACAAATCAATTCTGAAGATAGATTAGAGTCATCGCATAAAATTACTGATTATAAATACCGGAAGCGCTCAAGGTCCGGCAACTGCTAAATCCGGCCGGTCCGGTTATTATTTCCAAATTTAATTGACCTTGAAAATCGACATGAAGGTCGATTTCAAGAACGCCATCACAAGTGCATCACTCTGAACAGTACAACTCTGGATCTAGTACTTTTTTTCAGAAACTGAATCCTTTAAGAAATAATTAGCAAGAAACGTTTCCATCTCCAGAGGTTGAGAGGTGCTTTCCACCCCTAAAAAGCGTATTGAGCCGAAACAAAAAAACACGTATTTAATATTTTTCGGTGTTTAATAAGTACGTTAAAATTCGAATCAGTGAGTATCAGTTGGGTAGTGTTACTTGTCAATGGGACGAAATCTTCAGCCAGGTCGATAAAAGCCAATACGCAATACTGATGGGCGCCTTGAAGGCCCATCATACAAGTTGGAATTTCAATACCAATGATACCATCGGCGAAAGACTTCTCAATAGTTATATCAAATCAGATTTATTTCTTCATAATTCAAACTCTACTATGCTCAACATCATAAGGATATTAGGTTCAATTTAGGTCTTATATTCTCATCAGGATATGCAGCTTACAAAATCAATGTAGAAGCAAACAATGAAACTTGGGGCTCCGATCATTACTCTATATTTATGACAATATCTAGAAAAACAAGAAGTAAGCAAGGAGACAAAATGCTACACGCTTGGAACTACTGTCTCGGTGTTTCAATGACCTTCTTTACTCGCAAAACAAAAAAACACGTATTTAATATTTTTCGGTGTTTAATAAGTACGTCAAATTTCATTCAAATCTGTGAGTATCAGTTGGGTAGTGTTACTTGTGAGATTGTGAGAGTGTTAAATGGGGAGCTCTATAACATACGAATATATCGGTTGGGGGGTTTACGTTAGTAATTTTTGTGGTTCGATAATAATGTAGAATGTAATTTATTCGAGTTTAATAAATCATAGAGCGAAATTGTAAAACTGTTTCGATAGTAATACACATGTACTAGATTCCACGTGACTGCGTGGCGAGCTTCACTTGCGGGGTTCCCCTACGGTCGACCAGTACAGTGTTTTCTCTATACAGGGTGTTCGGCCACCTCTAGCAAAAATTTTAATGAGCGATAGTAGAGGCCAAAATAAGACGAAAATCAAGAATACTAATTTGTTGGTGGAAGCTTCGTTAAAAAGTTATTAACGTTTAAAGTGCCGCTCTTACTGAATTTTTTTCTCGAAAATGCGCAAGATTTCGGGGGTATGTCTATTCACCAAAAATGACTGTAATTGAACCCTACGACCGAAAATAATTTTTCCACAACGATTTGCAATTTTTTAATTTTCTCGAATAATTTCACACCTTCTCTATTTTTTTTCTCGAAAGTGGGCAGGATTTCGTGGGTATGTCTAATGACAAAAACTGATTGTAATTGACCCCCGCAACCGAAAATAATTTTTCCACAACGATTTGCAATTTTTTTTCTCCGTTGAAAAATTTAGGCACCTAATTGGATTTTCAGTAAGGAATTTTTTTCTCGAAAGTGCGTACGATTTCGGAGGTATATGTAATGATAAAAAATGATTGTAATTGAATCCCCGCAACCGAAAATAATTTTTTTAAAACGATTTGAAAAATTTTTTTTCGCCGAAAAATTTCAGCACCTACTCGATTTTTTTTTCGAAAGTTGATAGGATTTCGGAGGTATGTGTACTCACCAAAAATGATTGTAGTTGACCCCCGCAACCGAAAATAATTTTTCCAGAACGATTTGAAATTTTTGAATTTAATTGTTAATAACTTTTTAACGAAGCTTCCATCAACAAATTAGTATTCTTGATTTTCGTCTTATTTTGGCCTCTACTATCGCTCATTAAAATTTTTGCTAGAGGTGGCCGAACACCCTGTATAAGCTCGGAACTCGTCCACGATATAGGCAAATATCGTATCCCCACTGCGTACCGTTAGAACTCAGCGCCCTCTATATCGGCGAGTGTGCCTTCCTATGGGCGATTCCCCAAGATGGCGGCGCGCTTGACGGTCGATTGTCGAACATTGTCATACGATATGGGTTCAAATTACTAAGGCAACACTAGTGCAATAATACAAATTTTGTATTTTTCCTTTTCTTGTTTTGAAACTTTTAACGTGTCTGTGACAGTTTTCTCAATAATTATATCGAATCAGATTTATTTCTTCATAATTCAAACTCTACTATGCTCAACATCATAAGGATATTAGGTTCAATTTAGGTCTTATATTCTCATCAGGATATGCAGCTTACAAAATCAATGTAGAAGTAAACAATGACACTTGGGGCTCTGATCATTACCCCATATTTATGATAATATTTACAAAAATGAAAAAGTAAGTAAGGAGACAAAATGCTACACGCTTGGAAGTACTGTCTCGGTGTTTCAATGACCTTCTTTACTCGCAAAACAATGGAATTCCTTCGGTGGATGGCTTTCGTGACAGCCGTGAATGTAATGCGAGGGAAATCCTGCAAAAGTGCGCGCATTAATTCAATATTTGATCTGGAAAAGCGCAAAATCCGCGGTCGCAATTTGTGCTTCCGCCGGACGGAAATCCTCGAGGAACTTCCAGGTTGTTCTTTTAGCGGGATCCCCGTATTATATCGCTTTAATTCGAGAAATTTAAAGACACCCAAGATAAAAGAACCAGGGAGTAAAATCTTGCAAATCGCCAGACAAAAAAGTTCGTAGACTCGACCTAATAATCTTATATTTCGTTCCTTCGAGATGCTTAACTTATCCAAAAAGAACAAAAAAAAATGCTTTGTAGATTATTATACGTTCGAGTAAAAATATTAAATATCAAAATAACGGTCGTGACCTTGAATTTTTAACCTCTAAAAGTAAAAAGATATTCTATTGGTGCCTGATATTATTTGGGATTCGATAAATATAATTATGTTACAAAATAACGATATACAGGGTATTCGACCACCCCTGGAAAATTCTAGAGTCCAAAATAAGACGAAAATCAAGAATACCAATTTGTTGATTGAGGCTCCGTTGAAAAGTTATTAACAAAATTATTAATAAAATTTGTCCATCTTCACGAATTTTTTTCTCGAAAGTCATTAAGATTTCGGAGGTACGTCTATTCACCAAAAATTATTGTAAATGACCCCTCTAGGTAAAAATAATTTTTCCAGAACAATTTGAAATTTTTTTTTCGCCGAAAAATTTCAGCAGTCGATTTTTCTTAAAAATTCGTTTTTAATTTTTAGTAATTTTGTTTGACACCCTATGGAAAAATTGTCTAACACGTTTTTGTAGATACTCATGAGCTCTAATTTAGAAAAAAGTTTCATTGAAAGATATTCACTATTGTAGGAGTTATAGCTGTTTGAAATTTGGACCATTTATATGGGGCTTTTGGTCACTTTACGGGGTCAAGGAACAAGTTTTTCAATCTTCTCAGAATTTCTACATATTCTTTACTAAAATACGCGTTATTTGCATCTTGAAACATTAAAATCCTTCAATCCGTTCAAAAGTTATGACGTTTTAAAGATTCGCATGAAATTTTGGAGTGACATTTCTGGCCTGAAATTATATTTCCGGTATGGAATTTTTTTCTCGAAAATGGTTAGGATTTTGAGGGTATGTCTATCGACCAAAAATAATTGTAATTGACCCCTGCAATCGAAAATAATTTTTCCAGAATGATTTTAAACTTTTCAATTTCGCCAAAAAATTTGGGCACCTACCTGAATTTTTTTCTCGAAAGTGGGTAGGAATTCATGGGTATGTGTATTCATAAAAAATGTTAGTAATTGACCCTTGCAATCGAAAATAATTTTTCCACAATGATTTTAAACTTTTCAATTTCGCCAAAAAATTTGCACTTACTCGAATTTTTTTCTCGAAAGTGGGTAGGAATTCGTGGGTATGTGTATTCATAAAAAATGATTATAATCGACCTCAGTGACCAAAAATAATTTTTTCAGAATGATTTGAATTTTTTAATTTAATTTTTTAATAACTTTTTAACGAAGCCTCAGTCAAGAAATTGATATTCCTGAGTTTCGTCTTATTTTGGCTTCTAGAATATGCCGAACACCCTCTATACGCTAATTGTGATCTATAAAATTACATTTATAGACTTGCTTCTAGACAAAAATTTACTAATCTAAACGTAAGATAACATATTCCAGATCACGAATCGAAGGTCTCTGTTCTATAACAGATTTTGCATTTAACCATTTTAGACATACAGTTTCATATAACAAAATAAATATTCTATACGTTCCTCAAGTTATTTGGGATTCGATAAATACAATTCAGTTAAAAAATAACGATATACATATACGTGAATTGTGATGGATAAAATAACTTTACAAAAATTTACTAATCCAAATGTAAAATAACAGATTTTGCATTTAACCGTTTTAGAAGTTTAGTTTCACGTAAAAGCCATTGAAATCGAATCCAAAAGTCGTTTAAATACTTTGTTCCCAAATTTGCATTGCCTAATACAAAACTGATTGTCCAAAGCTCCGTCACTAAAGTTCGAGAAGAAATGTATTGAAAATAAATCCGGTACAACGTTGAATAAAAAACCGCAGACTGCAGCTGTCCGAATAAATCGAAGCAGGGCTGGTCGTGCTATAGAAAGCTTGCGGAATTTTTGCTCTTTTTTAACCGATTCTTCAAATAAACATATCGAACAATGAGAACGTGCGATGTATCGTGGCGAACGAGAGCTTATTGTTTCTGCTCGATAACTTACTTGAAAACCAGCAATTCAGCGAACCAAAATTCGGTTTCAAATATTCCGGTAGGAAATAGACGTTGTCGCTCAGAATGGCGAATAACGTGATGGTTAGCGCCAGGCCCCATGAGTACAGACAGTAGAGCAGGAACTTCTTGTCGTGAGATCGTCCCCTGCCTACGTTTCCACGCAGCCTCCTGAGAAAAAGAGTGTTTCTTTTGTAGAGAATGTATTACACAAATTAGGGCAAAGTTTTTATACGTATAATAAAATTCGAATTTTGACCATCAAAAAACGATAGATTTGGACCAAACTGTTTTGGAACCATTCGACATAAGCCAGAGATATATCGGACTCCGCTCCAATTCTATTAAGGATTCTTAAGGAACCTTCATGTCGCGGGGTTTATAATACGGACGTGACTTCTCCGCTATTTTTGAGGATCAGGCCTTCGAGACATTATTACTTGATAAATTAGGATACGGTCATTAAGGAAACTCCAAACTCCACATGTTCATTTTCTGGCTCTAGCTAAGATTTAAGTGATAGCTTACGCATGTCCAACTCTTTAGTCAATACACGAAAAACGCATTCTTTTGATATGCCTATAGCCTCTGCTATCTCTCTAGCCGTGATTTAACTGTCGTCGTACCATTTTGTGAACATTTTCGATGCTATCGATGGTGGTCACAGTTTATAGACGCCCCAAACGCTCATCATCGACCAAGCTGGTACGACCACTGTTAAGGATTCTAAAGGAACCTTCACATCGCGGGGTTTATGATACGGACGTGACTTCTCCGCTATTTTTGAGGATCAGGCCTTCGAGACATTTTTACTTGATAAATTAGGATACGGTCATTAGGGAAACTCCAAACTCCACATGTTCATTTCCTGGCTCTAGCTAAGATTTAAGTGATAGCTTACGCATGTCCAACTCTTTAGTCAATACACGAAAAACGCATTCTTTTGATATGCCTATAGCCTCTGCTATCTCTCTAGCCGTGATTCAACTGTCGTCGTACCATTTTGTGAACATTTTCGATGCTATCGATGGTGGTCACAGTTTATAGACGCCCCAAACGCTCATCATCGACCAAGCTGGTACGACCACTGTTAAGGATTCTAAAGGAACCTTCACATCGCGGGGTTTATGATACGGACGTGACTTCTCCGCTATTTTTGAGGATCAGGCCTTCGAGACATTATTACTTGATAAATTAGGATACGGTCATTAGGGAAACTCCAAACTCCACATGTTCATTTCCTGGCTCTAGCTAAGATGTAAGTGATAGCTTACGCAAGTCCAACTCTTTAGCCAATATACGAAAAACGCCTTCTTTTGATATGCCTATAGCTTCTGCTATCTCTCTAGCCGTGATTCAACTGTCGTCGTACCATTTTGTGAACATTTTCGATGCTATCGATGGTGGTCACAGTTTATAGACGCCCCAAACGCTCATCATCAAGCTGGTACGACCACTGTTAAGGATTCTTAAGGAACCTTCACATCGCGGGGTTTATGATACGGACGTGACTTCTCCGCTATTTATGAGAATCAGGCCTTCGAAACATTTTTACTTGATAAATTACGTTACGATCATTAAGGAAACTCCAAACTCCACATGAGGCTTGGAATCCTTGGAGCTCTTCCTTCTCTCAATAGCGATTGACGTATCGTAAACACGCGGGAGCGCACATCTGCAGACCACCGGGGTCTTGGGAGCTTTGGCTTTCCCCAAATGTTTATAAAAAAGGCAACATTCTCGCTCACTCTTGCATGGTGCACCTGGACACTGGACAGCAGAGTGGGCGGGAATGTTGCTAAAAGCAGGAAACGCTCTGCCAAGGTGATGATTTTGAGGATTGGCTTGACCAATCCTCTCACTGGTTAGCGCTGCGAGTTTTCGTCACCTCGGTAGTAGTATAAGAGGTTCTTGTCCTTTAATTTTCTATTGTACCATGTACTTTTAACGATAACATAAGACGTCTGCGTTTAAAAATATTTATTCGAATAGAAGATAGCAAGTGACAGTTGCGAAATATGTTTAGTTGTAAAATTTGTATATCTCATTTTCAGTTCACTATTTTCTATATTTGAATCCGATTGTAAGTAGTAAATAATATTTTTTCATGATTTAAGCATTAAATGAAATAGTATTTTCAAATAGTATTAATATACTGTTTATGCAAATATTTCAATATAGTAATAATATTTATGGAAATATTTCAATGTTTACTATCTTATATCAAATTATTTCAAATTTTCCTCAGCTCAGTTTATGTAACATATATTGGATATATCAGCATCGATTTCAATTATCCTGAAATATATTGTCAAGGATACTTTTTAGTTTACAAGATATAGTATTCTCCCGACAAATGTGAACATTTTGAGATCGATATTCTAATTTATGGTGTACCAGACACTAAATTTTATACCTCCATTGACACTTTTAGTGTCAACTTGTACATAGTGTTGTTCCTCAAGAAAAAGTTTGATTTATCTATGTATGTATAATCATTTTCATTTCTTATTTCTCGAGAAATTTAGCTGAAAACAAATAACAATGGAATTAATTTATTTGGTAATAAACTGTCTCAAGTAAGTTTTCAATTAGCAATTTTAACGTAGAAATTGTTGAGATCGTAAATATTTAATTGCGACCAATTATTAAAAATGTAAATGTGTTTAAAGATTCGCCTGTACAAGGAATGGAAAAAACCACAACTATTTCGCTACAATTTTCGGAATATGTTTACTAATAATTTCAGAATTAATTTCATAGACTCCTATTACTTAACGTCGAATGAATTTGACTTGAATGCCAAATTCTGATGCAGGGTTAATTCTTTTTCAATATTCGATTTTACGAAAGCTCGCGGCATATCGAGAGAGCAGATCTTTTTAAGAATTCGTAGACTTTATGGGGCCTGAGCTATTCCTTGAGACGTCAAAACAATTCAAAGTTCTCAAGACATCGAACTTCTCGCAGTCTCGAAGGAATGTTCGGATTCGTTCCAGATCTGTAACCGTAAATATTCGACGATTCGGTTCCATTAACAATGCGGAATGTCCTCGAATAATTGTTCCAGTTAATACTGTCAATTTACTAATCGAAATACGTTTTTTTTTATTTAATGGTTTAACGACGCATCAACTACATGGTTATTAGCGTCATCGGCACAATTAACAATACTAATAATAGCTTATTGAAAAGGTCAGTTTCTCTAAGAAATGAAAGTACGCTCCGCATTTTATGACCGACGAGGTTGTCTTCGAGCTCAGGTTCCAAACTATGTTGCATACGGGTCCTGTTGTATTTGGAACAGCTTATCGTGACGTGTTCAATTGTCATTCTCTCAGAACACTCATCACATGTATAGGTGCAGGGTCTCGTGACAATAAGTAAGAGTGAGCCATTCTAGAATGTCCAATCCTTATGCGCGTAATTATCACTTGTTCCCTTCTTGATGTCATTAATTTCCTTTTTTCAGTAGAGTGATCAAGAAAACTCACAGTAAATCTTTCCATATGTGAAGGAGCTTTACATATCCATTCCTCTTCCCATTTCATTTCTAGTTTCATTTTAATTTTCTTTAGAAGGTCATCCAGGATAAAAAGATTTTGGATTTCTGCTGTTGAACTGGTGGCCACCTCCTTAGCTGAAGCATCAGCTGAGTCATTACCTTGTATTCCAACATGTGATGGAATCCATACGAATACTATTTCTTTGTTCTGTTTGACTGTTTTGGCATAGGTTTCTATTACATACAACACGTTATTATCCGTGTGTGACCAATTTTGAATCGCTGTTAAGACACTTTTAGAACCTTTAAAGATGGCTACTTTTTTATTCGGTGCCTCATAAGCGAATTGGACTGCTCTCCCGATTGCTAACAATTCTGCTTTGTATCCTGATGCGAAAGTTGGTAGTTTGATCTTGAGGGTGAAAGAAGAGGTGAAAATTGCACAACCCGTTCCTGAATTAAATTTTGATCCGTCGGTATATATATGTAGGTAGCCATCATACTCATTAATAAGTTCGTTGGCTAGAGATAAAAAGATATCTGGGTTGGTTTCCGACTTTTTGTACATCTCTAGGTCATTACGAATTTTGAGAGGAGGCAAGGTCCAAGGAGGATATTTAGGTAATCTTCTAAGGTTTGGGTGGGCTAACTTGATATTTAATTCATTTTCATAAGTCTTTAGGAGCACTTACACGCAGTAAAAATTTGGCATAATTTCGATTTGAGAAGACATTCTGATAAACCGGCTTGGTAGGAGAGGCAGCAGATTTTATGGCATACGAAATGCTAAGTAATTTTCTTCTGAAACTGAGAGAAGGTTCATTTGCTTCCTTTAATATACTTAGGATAGGGCTCGTTATCTACGCTCCAACAGATGTTCTTAGTGCTGCATGGTGAATTGCATCAAGTTTCTTAAGAACAGATTGTTTTACCGAGCAATATATAATTGCGCCATAATCTAATTTTGATCTAATGGTAGCTTTGTATGTCTTCATTAGAATTTCTTTGTCAGCACCCCAATTATTGGCTGCAAGAACCTTCAGAAAGTTTAAACGTTTGGTGCAGTCATTTATGAGGTTCATTATGTGAGCTTTTCATGTTATTCTGCTGTCAAAGGTTAACCCGAGGATTTTAATAGTGGTAACTTGTTGAATTTCAGTGTTTCCTAGGTAGAGTTTAATTTCTGGCGGATCACGCTGTTTGGAGAAGGTTATTACTGCTGTTTTGGAATTTGAAAATTTAAAACCGGACACTTTCGACCACTCATACAGTTTATTTAGCGTCGTTTGTAGTATGCGCTGGGTTGTTTCAGGATTTCTTCCTTTGCATAGAATTGAGAGATCGTCAGCACAGAGAAACGCTTTAACCGGCAGATCTACTATAGATATAACTTGGTTGATTGCAATTAGGAATAAGGTGACACTCAGAACAGATCCTGAGGGACCCCATTCTATAGCATTATTGGATGTGAAAAACAGTTATTGATTCGAACTCTAATACGCCGCATTTTTAAAAAATTTTCAATAAAGGAAAATATATTGCCGTAGAATCCATAATTCTTAAGGATCTCTAATATTCCTTTTCTGCAAGTTAAATCATATGTTTTTTCTATATCCATTGATATTAATGTTATATGCTGGTTATTTAATAGAGAATCACAGATGTT